ATACATAGTTCAGAAGCATTGTAGTGTGAATAAAACATTTCCGTCCCACAGATTCATGTCTCGTATAGATTTATTGGTTCGTTCAACTCATTAAATTAGCAAGATCAGCAGTACCCAGTGGATAGTTTGCATTGAAGCGTTAGCGATTGAAACCAATAAAACTAACCTGTTTTCGTTATTTTCTATTTCTAATCAGTGGTGTGATATCGGAAGGGGAACTGAGCAGTGTTCCGTCAGAGTTTACTTCGAATAAACAAATTAAACCATCCAATCCACCCCAGTCGTACTGTCATCCGAAATGGCCGATTGCCGAGGTCGAAAATCTGACAAGCTCGCTTACTAAAGCACTTGATCGTGAGGAGGCGTTACTCACATTCTCCAAATATGATGGTTGCCACAATGCTATTGTCCGAGGTGTGATTGGTTACGCCCCAGGCGGGCTCACCGTGGACAGTCTGGTGTGGGACACAGAATCGGGCTTGTTTGTTTTTATTGCGGTAAGTCAGTTGTTCCCCGTTAAAAGAACACTTCATTTCTTAAGGTCAACATTCTTCAAATACGTCACCGCATTCGTTTAATTTTGTTATTTCTAATTGAGATCCCCCAAAATACGTGACATGAGGAAATGCAGCACATTGGAGGCCATGTCAGTCTCATCTGTCATACAATCTGTTAAATTTACGCTTCATCTCAAAAGAATTATTATCCTCCGGAGTTGGTCATCTTTTATTCCACTTAATACGATAAAGTTTTCAAAATTGAAATGATTTTAGTTGTCACTAATTCACAGAGAATTTGATGTCTTCATTTCGAGGCCGAGCTTATCTACCGTTCGGGGGTCTGATTCCTTGTCTGCGATTCTCAGATATCCTCCTATCGACATAAATGATCTGCGGTAGGCACAGACAACGAAACGCGTAAATTCTTATCTTACCAACGGTAAGCTGCTGAATAATTGTTGAAACGGTTGAACCTCGAACTCGATAAAAACGGATCACATTAACTGTTATCCAGATAGCACCAGAGTTTTTAGGGACACCGAGAACCGAGCGTACGTTCTCGCACACGAGCCTCATTACGGTAGTTCTAATTTGTTTGAATAATTTTTATATGGCTGACTAAGGGTGATTGATGCCAGATTCCTGAATCTCCAAATTTCCCTTGAACCAGCAGTCAGGGAACTAATAACTCAAGTAAAGCTGCGGCAAACGATTTACACACACTGATCTTCATTACCGTCTCACATGCGATCGTATATGCTGAAAACCTTCATCCGTTCGCACACGAATCTCCATTGCGAGGGGCTCTACAGTCAAAACAAATACACAAAAGTCCAAATATATATTCTTGTTTTTACGGTAGTTTATCTAGGAATGGATATTCCTTGAATCCTTCTGTAATTGTAAATGTGCTAACTCAGGTACAATCACATTGTGTTGGGTGTTGTAAGGTGACCTGTTTGGTGTCACTTTACCTGTGTTCTTTTCCAAAAATATATTTTTAGGGTATGTTCCTGATTTGTGAGCACTTAGAAACCGGTCGACAGCAGGTATATGCTTCAAAGTACGCGACCCAAAGTGAATCATCCGATTCTCCAAATGTCCCACGACTCTGTTCGGAAATGCTAACAACTATGGCTTTGTCATGCTCGCGACGCCAGCTAGCTGTTGGTTCCATGACCAAATGGGAGGTGATCACTGTGGGAGATACGACAAACCGGACCATTACAGAAAGCACCAGGTAAACTGTTCGAAAACTGGCAATATTATCTTAGGTTTATTGCATTACTGCAACCAATCCATTGCTTTTTAATATAGACTCAATAGTTGAACTTTTGACAATACTGCACTCTAAATGTAAGTAGTTACTGTCATTAGTTTAGATACTTCTTTCAACAGTGTAGAATTCCACCCAATGAAATCTTATCTGTGTGGTTTGTAAGAAAACTTATTTCTCTTAATTCACGCCACAAGAGAATCCTAATGCTTTCCGGGCAAATTCACTCATCAAAACAATGATTCAAAACGTTACTACCAAAGGAAACTTGTAGGGCAAATGATTGATCAAACCACTCCAGTCGCACCCGCAAATTTATCTAACGATGTCATGAGATTCCAAAAGTAGAACGAGATACAGTCAAACCGGATTTTGGTGACCTTCATTCGCATTCGTGCACGATATCCGTGCATGTTGCCAAACCTCCATTCACCCATGAAAAGAAGCAGAACATTCGGTATCCGCATCTCTCCGATCTGAAATGAATGCGAAAGAGCAGCAAGTTATTAGTCGGTATACGGAATGCTCGGGAGACCGCTGTTTGGAAGTGGATAGTACTAGGCAAATTAACACACCCGGACTCAAATCCATTGCATTTCAAAGCCTTTCTATTAATGGTCGACCTCCGTTTTTGTATGCGTTCAGACTATGTGCCAAACAACTCACGGCCTCCTATGCCCAAGCGAGAGGCTAACATCGAGAATATTTCAATGTTATTTTGTAAACTCATCATTTATTTGAACAGGAATCTATCTTTCCGGTTCAGGGCACGCACCAAAACGAGAGCTAAACTGTTGGGGGGTTTTAATGCACGACGAACAATGAAGAATATTCGGATTAATAACGACCACTGAAATGCGTGCTCCGATATCCGTGGTGTGCGAAAAGATTGAGGCAATATGGTGAGTATGGAGTGATGAAACAAAGCTTCAGCTGTGCACGATAGACAAAAGGATGGAAAACTGTAATCAAAGGGATATATGTACACAAAGGAATAAATCTATATCGGCATTTCAGGGTATTGGGGTTTTGCTACGGCTTGATGCGCTGTTTGGTCCGAGGGGAGGATCGAGCTGATCTTAGGGACTGAACAACGATTAGTTCAATTTGTGTACAGAAATTGAATGGTCAATTGGAGTCACGCAGCTAAAACAGCGATCAATATTTCTTTTCAAGAATAATGAAAATGGAATCTCGTTTTATCACTGCACACGGCATTTTCCCATTGTACCGCGATATGGATGCATTATCCAATCGAGGTGCACCTTTCGATGACAGTCACTCATCCCAGTAATCTTAACTGGTTGTCGCACATTCAGAATTTTTTTATTCAACATTACTTTTGGTGTACTTTCTAAACGACAAAATTAGATTTCTCTTTCTGTAGGATGAGGTCACAAAGTGATAACTGTCGAAGATATGGTGACATGATTCACACACACGACGCATATTCATCTAGCACAGTTTTGTCACTTTATTCTGTTGTGTTTATCTTTTCGCACGTGTGCCTATCCTCGCACATCCTACTTGATCTACTACGTTTCAGGTAGTCGATAGAGCACCAAAATAAGCTTGTTTACCAAATTGTGTTCTCATAATTTATGGTATCGATATAAATCCTAGAGCTTCCGGAGTGTCCGAGAATTGGTCAAGTGAAACATAGATTAAACTAAGCACGTTTCTAAAAATGCTCGCACTCAGTTTTGTGATCGCAATCTTAATCAACATTTTTCTCTTTTATTATCATGATATAACAAGGTAACTTGTTCAAAACATTGATAATCACAGACTTAAGTGCATTGTCTTTTACATGCACGTCGAACGTAACTGGGATGCGATCGATATGTAGAGAAGTTCGTTCAACCAGGTTGGTTAACATACCCATAGTCTAGATATTGAACCCTAAGGAGGTGAATCATAGATCAATTGGTTTTGAGATACCTGGGCATGAATTTCCCACTTATATATATATATACATATATATATATATATATATATCGAAATGCGTAGTATACGAATGATTGGACAAAATTTCCCTGGTACAAGTATATGAATGCCAAGACAAAAGACTACCGGATACACATGCCCGACGAGCGTCAAGAACCGCGAAACAGGTCGTGTGCTTCCAGGGGGATTTAGTTCAGCCATTCACATACTACTTATTATGTATATATATATATATATACCAATACTATGCAAGCCAAAAAGACAATTTGTGTATTGTGAAAGCGTTATATACATAAACACACAATCGCAATTTGACCAGAAGTAACAAGGGTTAAAATTTACCACGCTTTAAAAATACTTTTCTCTTCAACGAAAGGTACCAGGAATCCCGTTCGGATATCATTTTGATTCCACTCAAATCATGCCAGAGCAAGTTCCAGTTTCATCCTAACCGCGAGGGAGCAGATGAACAGGAAACAATCGAACTTGGTGGAATAAAACGACTACCATATTCTAAAGTTTTGCGTGAACAGACAAGCGCGTTTGGTCAATTCCGACGAAATCCTCTACTACTCAGGTTGACGTTTACTCAAAACTCGCGTCATCTAATCACGATTGGAGAATTTCATGCCAGTGTGGTTGGTCTGTGGTGCACGAGGACCGGATCGCTGTTGCAGTGTTGTATTATTGAAGGTGCACTAAACCAAGTACGTGAATCATTCCATGTGATGTAATCGTTGTGTTTACTTCTTGAATGAGTTGCGATCCACAACAAGTTACTCGAAGGATGGGCTTACTCACTAAATTACTGTGACCTGGCAAACCCATTCAGCTTCAACATAAGCCACCGGAGTCAGGGTTGTCTCTCTTTCTCTCTCACACAAATACAAACCCCTAAACGTGGTCCTTGCATCCATCGGTTGTGATGTACCACAGTTGAGCTCGAATGGGCGTGAAACTCGAGTCTGGTGATGATCGTGCTGGATGAGCAGTGAAATTCCCGTGAAGTTGAAATATGAGTAATCTTGGTACAAAATTCATAATGATACTTGCCCTACAATACACTGTACTCAGCTGACAAACAACTGAAAATGTAAGTTAGAACTGTCAGCTGCTACCAAGTCTGAATTTCAAAAAAATTAGAACCTAGCTTTTTTTCATCCAGTATGAAGTCACAGGTCACTGGGTACGTGTATTTGTCTTCTCGAATAGGTCGAAACATTTTTCGAGCCCAGTCAAAGCTGACCAATCAGTTGGATTTTTACAGAAGCATTTATTTCCAAAGCTACTACATGAAATTCAGATCGATACAGTAATCAGTCGGCCACAACCCTCCTTTTCTCCATGCTGCACTAAATTTCACTTGTTTATTAATATATAGCAGGCAAGTCCAAAAGCAAACAATTAATCGCGATGATTTCTAAACCTACCCGTACAGATCAAATAAGGGTCTCACTCTGCTCCCTTCCCGGTCAAGAATGATCTCCCGACTGAGCGCGAAAATTCCCCCCCACCCCCCACTAACAATAATCTTCCACATGATTTGTGCAAGTCAAATTGTGGATGACTGAAAATAACTGTTGGCTTTTGCACATATGTTCCAATGTTACAAAAGGTTCATTCTGAAATCATTTTTTTCATGAATTTCCAATTTATAGTATCAAATAACTAGTTTATAATAGATTGGCCACCTTATTCTCCCGTCTAGAATCTCTCCAAACCCGCGAAAAATAGTTCACCTCAACTGAATTTTTTTCTTTATTTTCAGGTTGCTTGTTCTTCTATCTCACCAGAATGGTTTGTGACGGTCGGCGTCGGGAACACAGCTGTTTCCCGATCGGTCACTGGGCCATTAGTGTTTTGGAAGATCACGGAATTCGGCCGATTTCGAGGAGACACGTTAGTGCCAGAAGGTGCTGACTGTGGAACTCTGGCCGGAAGAGAGTTCAGTTCCGCTGTCTATATTACCGTGGGGGACCGAATCCATGAACACAGTGCTATTACATGTTCCACGGCTTCAGGTTTAAGAGAATTACTGGTCGTTTCGGACGTTGTCGGCTTAATTTATATTTGGAATCCAGAACGGCGACGCTGCTTATTCACCTGGAGGCCCGGTTGTTTTGAGGTGAGTTGTAACGGTCCGTGGTAAACATGTCAGCAACGAGATCAATTCAGTTATTTTTTAAAATAATAACACGTAAGAATATTATTTTTCGATGATAAAAATTCATAGCTTCAATGAGATTTCAACTCACGCGTGGACCTCGCTCACACTTTTGTACAGCTGACTCTGTACCAGATGAGTTTTGACGCCAAACCAACAGCACCAAACTTTCATCATTTAATTCCTCCATCCAAATGCTTGAGGCATGTGAATTCTGCCAAGTTGTGCGTAAACTGTCTGCTCTTTTAGGCTTTCCTGGGATGAAGGTCTTTTATCAACCCAAACATTAGATTATTGTCTTCATTTTTTTCAGGCAATGTGGAACAGTATGTTTGGATCGGAATATTTGATTTAAAAGACACCGGACACTACCAGTATCGCTAGCGGTCGTATCCTAACTCAGCTTATTTGTCGGGGATGGTCCCAGCTGTAAACTGGTTTGGGAAACCGGGAGCCATCTGCGTTAAAAACATGTCCACCCTCCGTTTTTCTTCAAAACATGCTCCATTGTCATTCCGGTAATTTTAACTCTATTCCTGTTCCTCTCACAAATCCTTACTGCCCCTTGCACTCACTCACAACCTTTCTATCCCGTGAAACCATTGCATTAGAACGACTGTCTGCATATCGCCCGCAGGATTGGTTTTGTATTCTGAAACAGACAATTATTTTGTTGAGGACTTAAGTTCGGGGGCGTATTATTGTTCCCTCCCCACGTTTCATTTTATATTTGCAAACAGCAGTCAAACAGTATCACATCCAAAGTTGGAACGGATGTCTTTGAAAAAATTGTGCGTCGTGCTCATAGTATTAGATCCGTATAGGAATGTTACCTCTCCCTCACACACACACACACACACACACACACACACACACACACGCCAACTCAATTATTCCTTCCCCCTAGACCAATCAAACGCACCTCCGATTGATACGGTTTCTCTCACGATTTTTGTTTAATGTTCGCTCGTTAATTGACTTGAAAAAGGCCTTCCAAGATAGTCAAAACGTCGTCAACCAGAAAAAATGTTGTTTTTTGGTTTACTCTCGTCGTGGCTAATCCAAACATTCCCATACGGATCTAAAAGCAGTCAAATATACCACATCCTTGTGTACTGTAATCACGCGCTGGATGGGTCTCCGTCTCCTCTCCTATCCCCCATTATTCAGATCAACCAGAAGGTCATTATTTGATCAGTCGCTTACTTGTTCCCCTTTTTCCGTTACCACCATTGAATTGACTCCTCTAGGATTTTTCTCATTTCTTGGCACTTTCACGCAGTGGTTTTGTATACTGTGTTGTGACCGCACAGCATCTTCTCAATACTGGATTATCAAAGGATCGGATTCCGAGGACATTTTCTCGTTTAGATAGGAACTCCACAGGTAGTGAAATAGAACAGCTAGAGGCGTTTAGGAATTCACTTAATATAAGAAAATCATGGCTATTTATAGGAAAGAGCGAGGACACGGGAATGCATATATCAAAACGATTGGTTGACTGGATTGGTGTCAACCATCTTCATTCTTTGGCGGTTTCGGCCAATCACCTGAGTTTGCCTATCGATGTTCTGACTGGTTGTCCCAGAACAAAGCAGTTTTAAAGAGCATGCTAGTTCCCTGACATACTGAACACCAGATTTACCTACCGATTGGTGCTCCCTAACTGCTGCACTACTGGTTTTCCTTAACCCCTTTTCACAATAGTTGTGGGACTGAGGAACTACCTGCTGATCTCGCTCCATTTGTATTCATTCTATCCCATTAGGTTAACGTTTTCGAGTTAGAGTCAATTTAGTTTTAACCACTTGAACACCTTTCTCTGTCTTAAAATTTTCAATGTATACGGTTGATCTCTTTTGACTATCTGATTTACCCAACAAATATCTAAATCCCATTGTTTCGGCTAATTGGCCATATTACGTGATATAGCGCTTTTAGTTAAGTTCGCCGCAAAGTTTAAGATTTTAAAGTTCTATATTATCGGAAGGTAACCAACATCGGCCCAGGAAAGTACATGATTTATGTTTGTAAAAACTAAACAGCATTGTTTTACACTCAATATTGTTGCTGCATTACTTTCAGCACATACTTGATGAGTTAAACCCAACATTGTGCACCCACGTTCTCTAGAGCTGTCGCCAATTTAATCAATGGGAACCAGAAATGCTGCAGCGGTCTTCGAAATGCTGCTGTACAGTCCCATGCAGTCCAGCTTCATATTTCTTTGCCTTTTCCGGCCTAATAAGACCGGATATAGGTTTGTTTCGTTTGTTGCGTCAGCCGGACCTAGCGTCACAGAACGTGGTCTTTCGGTTCACACGCAATTCCTGTTGTCAAACGTTGAAGATTGCTGTTTTTCCTTTGTTTTCGTGTTTTTAACTCAATTTTTCAATCGGGGTTAAACTGTGCGCCTTTGTGGCCGAAAAGCCTTCGCCTAGATATTCTTCATTCCGTCCTCCTTCGGTTAGTTTCGGTCCCTTCTGTAGGATAGAGTGACAAAGTTGTACTTTGAAGACGCTTTTTATGTTTTGTTAGCTGTACCTCTGTACTTTTGATAATTGTTATGCGATGCGATATAAGTGAGGCTGTCCGTGGTCAACGGTTTCCCGGGTAATAAAACTCTGCCGGAAAATGTAACCCTTTTATCGAGTGATCGCCTTCATATCGGTGTGACATTCGCATAGTTTTGCTATTTTTTATGGTGAAAAGCCGACTTATTAAGGAGGACTCAACTAAACAACTACCAATCAAGAGCTGTACGAATGATTCCCGTCATCTTTACTGATAACTCCGTTAAGGTTGTCGGAGATGTTCAAAAATAATCGTTTCATGGACGTGAGGATTTTAGTGTCATTAATACGCATTTCTTTCAATTTTCAGCACCACTCCTTAAATGTATGTCTGGAATGCGCCGCGTTCGATTATAATATTACAATGTCTAGTTTTGTCTAAATCAGATAATTTGTTCCACAAAGTCTCTACTTCTGGTAAGTTTAAAAATAGTCCATGCTGATTATGTGTACAGATTTTACCAGCTAATTATTTTTTACATTTATCTTTATGTGCCAAATATTATGAATAACGATGTGAATGTATTTTTTTACACATCATTTTCAGCATGGCTTGCTAACGACTTGCGGTCCCACAACCCTGCTGACCGGTGACGCTTCAGGACGCCTGTGTACATGGCACCTCAGTGTTGGATTCTCACTATCTGCGAATGAATCTGCTCAAAGCAGTCGACCAAGACATTACTCGGATTCCAGTGAATTCACAGATCTGGCCTCCACCGTTACTGTCAAGCAAATTCGAGAAATCCGCACGATTCAGCATCACTCGCCCAGTGCCATCATTGTGGGCCATTTCGATGCGGATGGGCAATTGGGTGTGGTTGGAACGAACGATTCAAATCTATGGTAAGCCAGTTTGGGACAAAAAGTGATCGGGTTGGATTTGCACGCAAACGAGACAATCCATTTAGTCGTTTGGAATAATTTGACTTTTGGGATGTTGATGTTTCGTACATTGAAATAGATACCGTTATTCACTGCCACCACGGCATGCATATCTTTCCAGGTACATAGATTGGTCTAATGTGAACGAGTCAGAGACAACCAGTCATACCGATTTAGCGGACGATATCGCAGCCGGTGTGGTTCGCTTGTTCGCTGGACACGAGGATGAAATTTGTGCTCTGGCCTGGTGGAATCCTCAGTCGTCGATTTCAGTAGAAAACCCATCAAATACGGGTGAATTCACGCCACTTTTACTTACAGTTTCCGCCGTGGGAACCATACGGGCGTGGGATGTCAATAGCCGGGAATTGTTATGCCAAATCAGAGTAAGCAAAAATGCGATTCTTCTTCCTCTCAAATTGTTGTTTTCGTTCATCCGTCGATAATTTTCACTACGTCATTGATTCATGTTATTGGTCTTTCTTTTCCCTACGGGAATAATTTACCACGTTAGCATAAGTCTACTACTGACTTGAGACTTCACTACTTCCAGCGAGTAAATCAATAAACAAGTACGTGCTCAACCACGTTTAGCCCAGCAGTAGAGGTTTCAATTCTGGACTCTAATTTTCGCGATTTCAGTCCGGGTAGAGACAAAAATAGTGCATCCTAGAGATGAGCCGTAACAGGAGGAAGAAGCGGCTGATTGCTCTTCTTCGCTGATTACGCACAATATTTATCATTAAAGATGTGCTGTAAAGCAGTGGAAAATGTGCCAACTTCAACGGTGTGAACTCAACGCAATAGAATCATAACACGGACCCTGATTCCTTTTGAATTTCCATGAATTGAGACAAGGCCTTGTATAAATAGTTACTCATAATGTTTAGCCTTTTCTTTCAATTCCGTTTGTGAAAAAATCCGTCGACATATTTTTGCTTTCTGATTGTTTCACTCAGGATAGTTTTATTTTCAAGAATAACTTGAGCATGAACCCATCGTGAATGCTCTGTTGTCGATTAACAAAAGAACAAGATAATCGCATATAAACACGACTTTAGTAATCGTGTATTTCAACATTCTGTTTCACCCATACTATTAAATGCCTGAAATGCGGTTGGTTTTATGAAAATTACCGATGTCACTATGCTTTTTCAGGTAAAAAATCGCAGGACCGGGGTTGAAGATAATCGGAAAATGGCAGCAAGCATGACAACTCTCGAGCAGTTTCAATTTCACTGTTGTGGTCTGGAAACGGGCGGAATTTCAGATGGTGAGGATGTGCGATCTGGGCAGTTCATCGCGGTCGGTTGTGTGGCTGTTGCTTGTGCCGATACCAGTTTACAACTGTTCTGTTTGCACAAAGTACGTAATTTTGCCTAATCTGTGACTTTGATGGTAAGGGTGCGCGATCACTTTGCATCCGCGATCACTGGATTGTAGAAGTTGTAGTTCTAGTGGTGGATTCATCAGACAACGCCCCGCTGTCTATCTCAATGTCTATGCTATATGATACTGTTTTCCGTTCCATTGACTAACATATTTTAAAATTATTTGAGCCTTACCCCCGATTAGATATGGCTAGATACTGAATCGTTACACATCACATTAAATAGACTCCATGTGCATAATGTATACAGTTCGCTATCTGAACCGAACCTTAAATTCAGTTTCAGTTTCAGTTTGAACAACCATTAACCATGCACTTTCGTGCGCCCGTTTTGGTTGCTGTCTTTTGGTTGCACATTTGGATGAGGAATAGGAGAAGAAAGGAAAGTTGAAAGTGGATTCAAAAGGAAAATGAAGAAGTTCAGTGGACTAAGGTTGGGAAGAAATTGAGGAGATGCACGAACGCCAC